GGGCAGGTTTCTGCCTTCTGAGGACAGTGGCTGGGCAGCCATCAGCAGAACTGGGGGAAGGAGAGACTGCTCCTATGGACAGCTGGTATAGAGGGTTCCCAATGAGTCTTCTTGTCTGGAAGCAGCTAGAGAGGTGTATCTTGTGGCCCTGCACTAAGTGAGTAAGGTGAGAGTTTGGAGGAACAGAGATATAGCCACCACTGGCCGATTCAGGGCATTGTGGTGTCTAGCCACTACTGGTGTAGGGAAGAAGTGAGGCTACAGTCACATTCCATGCTTGGATCTCTGCTCGGAGACAGGAAGAAATTATCGTTGTGCACATTTTGTAGGAAATAATGAGTGCATGTGTGGAAATTTATTTTTCCCTCTATTTTTTCTCTCTCATGTAGCACTTTTACCTTGTACCTGAGTGTATCTTCGCCAGTGTAACTTAAGCATATCAAACACTCTCCTCCTGAAATCCAAATCTTCCAAAGTTTCATTATCACAATCTCAAGGGATAAACAGATAATGTTATAAGCAAAAGGGACCAGAGCAAACACTTCACTATAACAAATATTTGCTTTGTGCCATTATTTTATCTGACTCATATTATTAGACTTACTGTTTTTACCACAGGTAAAACAGCAGCAGATTGAGCAATGAGCCACTGTTCTCTTCAGAAGGAAGAACAAAGGACAAAACAGCCCTTGGTAACAAACATTTGTATGAGCCAGACTGTGATGAGCTTTGTAATAAAGGCAAAACAAGCCAAAAAAGTAGGGGTTTGGAGCATCAAAAGGATGATGAGCAAGAACAAAAAGCCAGCAGTGCTGAGAGTGATAGATTGACACAAACACAGTGTCTTTGGAGTATGGAACATCAATATTACAAACAGATGAAAAGCAATAATAAATGAAAACAAAATAATATATCTGGAAAGACAAGAAAGTTATCAGTCAGAGGGAGGGGCATTAATTAGGACATGCAAAGTAGGAAATCACTTAGAGACACAGAGCCCATTAGCAGCTCATAGCCCCAAGCTAAATTCAAATAGGAGACTCAAAAATGACACTTACACACAGTCTGACACACATGGGGTACTGCTGTGATGAAAGCAAAACTTAATTCTGCAGTGGTTTATGAAGTATGGTAGGATCCCCCTGAAGTGATGATGAGGCTTACTGATGAGGAGGATGGCAACACTGAAACACTGATCCAGACAAGGCAATGCTCAACCATGACCCCAGCACCCACATCACAGAGGTGAGACCTCCTCCCAGCTGAACGGGATGCCAAGGCTCCTCACAGATGAAACACTTTTCTTGCACAAACATACACTTTTCTTACACATCAATTAACTCAGGATGGTGGCTTCAGGCTCCTCAGATGCCATCACCAGGCACAAGACAGACTATCTGGTTGATGGAAGTTTCCAGTAATCATGCAAAAGAGAAGCCCTGCAACAGAGAATCTCACTGCTGAGCCTGGAGCGAAGTCTCACAGCTCACCAACAAGATGCCACAAAGAGCTTTTGAAAGGCAGAGTTAGCTAGTAGGCAAAAACTGTCTGGCCTTGCAAAAATAATGGAGTGTATCATTACACACCTAGGAGATTCCCTGGCAACTCTTGAGTATTTTGTTAACAAGCCAAGGAATGAAATGACTCCTATGATTCTGAGAACATATAACACAAATGTACATTTCAATAAGGAAATAAAATCACCAACTGGTGTGTACTTTGCAGTTTAAACAGTTCTGGGTTGCTGAAAATCTCCAGCTATAAGTCTTTCACTCAGCTCTTAATTTCTTCATAAATACCTCATCAAGTGAGGTAGAAAGCACCAGAACTAAACTCACATGAATCCCTGAAAGACAAATGCCTCAGGAAAGTAAAAATGCTTCAAAAAATATTTCATGACACATACTGGTTTATTTCAGAGTCCAGCAACTATCATTTCCAAAGTTGTTCAGAAAAAAACATGGAAAACATAAGAGAAGTTGCTATGAAACAATGGAAAGCCATGAAACAATGGAAAGCCATGGAGAAGACACAAGCTGCAGGGGTCCTTCCTTTGAGCAACCTCTGGGGAAGGAAAACCTGTGGAGAACAGCATTACAAAAGAGGTCTTGGTTTTGGCCATTGTAGTATTTGACAGCATAGGAAAATGGGTATTCAGATTATCACTGGAGATAACAAATCTAAAGTTAATTTCCTAAACAGCAAGCTTGCCTGGAGAAGAACCTCTTAGGTACATAAATGAGTCTATGCTGACATTTGTGGCCAGGACTGATAGGAAATATCAATTGTTTAGGAAGAGAATAGATGTGCTGTCATAGAGGGTTACTGAAGGTGAAAAGGCAATTAACGCTCAGGGCCTTGAATCCCTAAGGGTCACTGCCTAAGCCTCCTGAAAAATTAGTCCATATGTTCTGTATTATTTTCTTTGGCTGCAAAACAGATTAGGACTGTACAATATACACTTGGGAAGTGGATACAGCCTCATGTTGCTTACATTCACAAGAGATCCCCACATCTACTCTTTGGGAAAGAAACATAAGGAAGTGCAGGTTATGCAAGTGTTCTTGCGGGTTCTGCCTTTGGTGTTTCCTATTTCATGTTGTCTGTTATTTACTTATCCTGTCACCTGATACGATGCTCTTGTGAGAGAGATCTAGACATGATCATACTGAAAGAACACAATATTTCAGAAGTGTAGTATTTTATCTCCCCTTTGGCTTTATTGATCAACGATTAGCATTAGACTAAATGCTGCACTGTGATTTTGATTCAGCTGCTGAAAAAACCTCATCTATGAATCTTAATCTCTTATGCACTGAATTAATTCCTTAAGGTAGGTCTAAAACTAAGGCTGAAGTTTTGGGAAGGATTTCCTTTCCCCTGCCACATTCACTCTTGTATTTGTTATGGGTGTAACCATTAATGGTTCCATTGTGGTACGGAGAAGTATTTGTGAGGAAAATTCTCTCTCCAAGAAATGCTCTCATATGCCTCCAGCCACTCAGGAGTAAAGTAGAGCTTGTGCCCACACTGTACTGCATTGCTCATTCCCAGGATATTAGCAGATCTAAACGTTTTTGCTCAACTTTGACTTTTAAACAACTAGTTCATTCTTTCAAATAAAGAAAAATCACTGCAGAAAAGATTCTTGGCAGCAGTTTTTGCTCTGGCTTCCTGAGGAATGCACTCACTTTAAAAACTGAATGAAAAACCAATGGCACATAAAACTGCCTCATGACAATGCTGGCAGTTCTACCAGTTTCTCATCCACCCACATTTACCAAGCCCTATGCATTATGTTAGAATTGTAACTTTGAAATTATAACCTCTGAGGACATGCTTTTTAATCACCAGTATTTCATTTTCCACTTTCAGAGTGTTGTGGAAGTGTTATTTGAATAGCGGGTACCAGATTTTAAATGTCTGCAGTGATTACAATATCCTGTTAGTATCAGAAAAGTCCTTCAGCTGAGACCTCTTGGATTCTCACACTCAAAGAAAATATTTTAGCCATCTGTTCACCTGATATTTGCTACAGCAGAGAAGAAAAAGCTCAGTATTTTCTAGTCAGCTTAGGTCCAGCATGGAACACCTCAGTGTTCTTTTGGCTCCAGAAAACATCCTATTATGGTGAAAGTTTAGGTATTCCTACTTTATATCTCATAGAATATATCCCAAGTATGATGCTCAATATGACTTTTGAAAGCCTCTTAAGCAATATTGACCTTCTTTCATATTAATCAATTTTTTTTCAGCAAATGTAAACATCAACCAGTCCATAAAGATGAAAATGTTCCTGCTCTGAACAAGAAAGTTTCAAGTTTTGCGGCTGAGTACGTCAGCACCAGCCTTCTATCATGACATGCAGAGCTGTAGACCCAAATTATAGGCCACTCCAAACACAAAAGTTTAAAACACAGCCACTCCCCTCTTTCAAAAACCCTTTTGTATTCTTTTTGGTTTCTCTAAAAACAAGTTGTTGATGATGGCATTTTCCTACTGCATTTACACAAGCCTAGAGTTATAAAAGCCAGGCAGGCAGCACTACCCATCTGGAAGCTGATAATCACTTGCGCAATGGCTGCCCTGTGAATAGGGCAGACTTCTTGCAGAAACTCAGATTTGTGGGATATGATTTTTCTCAAGCTCTGCTTGCAGCCCAAGCTTCAAGTGTGACCTACACTGGTACCTAGTTGCAATTGCTCAGTATCTCTGAAAACCATGTGGTCCACACACACCGATAAGGAGCTTAACTCCATATGCTTTGCTTTGAAAAACTAGTGCTTTTTTTTAGATGAAAATCTAAAAGCTATCATAGCATTTCAGACCAGTAATAAGATTTTATCAGATCATGATCCCTTTAGTGGCACAATCTGTGTTTTACCTAAATAGCCTGATGAGGCTCAAATGCCTCATGCTAGCCTCTTTCTGAGTGGTGTGTCTCATGCTGAGAGCAGAAGAAGCTGAAATCTCACTGCTACCACATGGCCATGCCAAACAGCAGCAAGGATCTGACTGAGGCAGATACACCCCGGCAGATGTGGCCAGCGGTCCGTGCCTCCTTCCCCTCTGCTCCCTGCTGACTTAAGACATTCACCCCCAGGGCAGTGTGGACAGTAGATGGTTCCCACAGCCATACCCAAACTTGGGACACCAAGCACACCAAGCACTTTCAGTCCTAGCTCTGCACATGCAAGAAGTTGACTTCTGCCCCTTGCCACAGGCAAACCTCTTTGCTAATGGGGATGGTTTGGCATCCCTAACCAGCGCCTATGCAATGCTGGCTGCTTACTTGCAGTCATAGGCACATTTTGATGTGCAGGATGGGCCATCAGTGATTTCACTCAGCATCTCCTGAGAGACAAGAAGCAGCTGAAAGCACTGATGCTAACCTGGGTGTTTTAGAAAGCCATCTCCACATGGCTAATTGTTACACTGATTGCTGATAGCTTGAAATATCAGCTCTTGGGGTTCACTGTCCTGAAACCATTCACGCTCACCCACGCCCACACAAACCACGAAGAGAAGAAAACTATTGCATTCAGCGTTTTAGTGCTGCAGGCATGCAATGCATATAAACGTAGCGTGCGTGACGGGGCAATACTGCATTTCCTTAGAGAAAAAGAAAAGTCATAAACCACCCAGCGAGCGTATGCTCCCCGGGAGCGCCCTGCCGTGGGCACAGCCGTTCCGCCTCCGCCGAGCAGCGGCCGCCCGTGCCTGGCCGGCACCGGGGCAGCCCCGCGGCACTCTGGGGGTGCTCCACACTCCGCTCCAAGCTGCTGACGCCGGGCACGCTGTGCTGTGCCGCGCCGAGCCGCTCCGACCGTGCTGCGCTGTGCCAACCCGACCCGCGCCGTACCGTGCCGAGCCGAGCCGAGCCGCTCTGAGCCCCTCCTCTGTCCCCGCCCAGCCGGTCCGGACCCACCCCCGGCGGCGGGGCCGCTGCGCCGCCGAGCCATGCGAGGCTTTAAGCGGCAGGTGCGGGGGAGCGGAGCACACGCGTAAGCGGCGGCTGCTGCGGCCCGGCGGTAGCGGCGGCGGGCGCCTTTCGGCTCGGCGGGAGCCGCGGCGGAGCGGAGCATGTCGGTGGCGACCGGGGGCAGCGAGGCGGCGGCAGCAGCGGGCGGAGGCGGCGGGAACCGCGTTTTCTTCCAGAGCCCCCGTGGCGGCGGCGGGAGCGGCGGCTCCTCCGGCAGCTCCTCCCGGGAGGACTCGGTGTCGGCAGCGGCGGCCGTGGTGCAGGTCCAGCAGCGGCGCCACCAGCAAGGGAAAGTGACGGTGAAATACGATCGGAAGGAGCTGCGGAAGAGGCTGGTGCTGGAGGAGTGGATCGTGGAGCAGCTGGGGCAGCTTTACGGCTGCGAGGTGCGGGGCCGGGGTCGCGGGGTCCCCGGCGCGGTCGCTGTCGCCTCAGTCCCCTCGCCCCCGACATCCTCCTCCTGTCCCGAGTCACATTTCGGCGGTGGGCAGGGGAGCGCTGTCACCGCCACCTCCAAATGACATTCCCGGTCCACCGCCTCCACCCTGCCGCTGCCCCGCGCCCCAGTGGTGCCTCGGCTCAGGGAATGGTGAAAGGTGCCCCATGTCCTATAGACAGGGTGTCCCCCGTGCCCTCCCGAGGTGAATAAGAGGGGACCGCCCTTTGGGGACGGGCGGTGGCTGCCGCACGGCTGGGCATGGAAGGGTCCTTTTCCTCCGGGGGGGGCCCCGGCGGCTGCGGCAGGTCCGGGAATGCCAGGAGGTTCGCCCGCGGCTGTGGTGGCCGGGAGCCGCTGTCCCCGTAGCCTTCTGGGGCAGGGCGGACCGGGGCTCCGCGGCGCCTTGCACGGGCTGGGCGGGCGTCGGTCTCCGTTAGACGCGATCTGGCCCGGCGCCGGCAGCTCGGCGGTCGGAGGGCAGAGCGGTGTGCTGGGCACAGCAGCAGGAGGGAGCGGGACCTGCGCGGGGGCTGTGCGGAGGCGGCTGTTGGAGAGGAAAGACTCCGGTGCGGGTACGGTCCCCTCTGGATCGTGGTTTTGCGTTATCCCGACCTACAGGAGCGGGGAAGATACTGGCCAGGAAATCCTAGTGAGCAATTCGGAGGTCATTAGGACGAGAATCGAAAACACTGGGGCTTGTATGTACGTGATTTGTATGTATCAAATGTGTTTTTCTGTTACTCTGGGCAAAGAGCGAGTGTTGCCAGAATGAATTCCCTTTTGTAGAGGACAGATGAGCAGGAGGATGTTTCAAGATTGTTCAAAGAAATGGCAACTGTTGTCTTCCTTGTGGAGATAACGATGTTGTAAACCTTCTAATCCCCAATGGATCGTATCTCACTTCCACCTCAGGTATTTACTCTTACCAAAACGTTAACGCTAAACTGAGGTTCACACATACTTTTCCCATCAGTCGTCTAATTGACTTTTGTTAGAGACTTCTGAAGTGAGATTTGTTGAAGCCAGATGTGAATTTTGCAGTTAGCATGTCCAGGAGCCAACATCTCACTCCTGAGCATGCTGGAGCTAGGAAGACAAGAGCTTCAGAGTCCTTAAGGTGTGGATGTGAAAATATAAATAACCTGGATGGAATATCTAGCACACACATAATACAAATGTTTAAAGAAACTCTTTTAATCTCAAAAGTGATTTATTGGCAGATTTGTTAGAATGATACATAAAAAATGTGCATGTGTCAAGTTAAGCCTCCTCAACACACATCTATGAGCTGTGGGAAGGAAAGATACAAGTGGAAACTCCAGTTAAAAATAATAAAAATAAGCAGTTCTTAGTCTTTGTCTTGGTGTGACTTGCCTCTCCAGTCTCATGACTTGTTTGGCCCCATAGCCTGTAGGCTGTGAGGGTTTTTCTGAGGCTGGAAGTGTTTACAGTTGTTTGTGTGAACTGATGATTCTGTGCCTGTGCAAGCTGATAATGTAGTTAGTGTCTGGCCTGCTGGATCTGTCCTCTGGTTTGACTCTCACTGTTCAAAAGCACCAGGCCTGTTGGGCTGTGTGCTTTTGACGTGCGGGTGAACTTGTTCTGTTCGTAAGAGAGGATGTGGTATACAGGACCAAAGCCCAATGGAATTGTTGCTGCTCTTCACAGTATTCAAATCACAGGCTTGTTGGAGGAAAATCATTCATTCTTTTCCGTGCTACAGTTGTTGCTTCCAACTAAAGTAGAAGGATGTATGCTTTAGAATGTCTCCATTAAGGTGGAGACCATATATAGCTGAGTAAAAATAATTTGTTAGATGGTTTGGTTTCTGAGGTGACTTCTATGGGGAAAAGTGGTTTAGCATAACAGAACAAAATGTTTTTAGATTTGAAGGCCAAGGGCAAAATATTTAAGTCATTTTCTGCTCTTCTTTGCTATTGTCCAGAGTCAGCACAGATGATGGTAGTGAAAAGGTCAAGCTATTAATATGTTATCAGAATAAAGTTGAAGATGTATGATGAGTGTAGTGATTAAAGACAATAGCAATTTAATGCAAGATGCTTTGCTTGAATCTGCTTGAATTACTTCTAGGCTTAGAGATGTAGCTCTCAGGCTGAAATTTAATCACCTATGCAGACAGTTAATAACCCTGTCTGAGGGCAGGTTGGGAGGGGGTTGGGAATTGCTCACTTCAACTTCTATGGAAGATCTACAATAACTTCCTAATGCAGTGACATTTAAATTCTGTAACAATCTAAAATCTTCCAGGTTGTCAGAAATAGCCATTGAATTTTTAATCCTGGAAGAGCTAACCAATGTCAGTGTTTCATTGCTATTCTGATTCAGAGCTCTATTTCTAAGGAGCAGTGCACTTCATTTCTGGGAAGAGCAGAAATAAGTAGAGGGTGCTTCCAATGTGGTACACTGAAAGCCTGTAAGAAGACTTGCATGTCTCTTTGTTAGACTGCATAAATGTAGAGCCTGCTCACTGTTTTCCATTTAAATAATGTTTGCTATTATGCTGAGATTCATCAGTAAGTGGATACTTGCAGAAAGATTCCCTTTATTCAAAACTAAACATGTACTCATAGTCTCTCAAGTACTTGCAAGTTAAGTCAGCTATAAGCCTGTCTTGGCATGGCAACAAAGTTTAGGAGATGAGGTTGGGAAATAACGAGACAGGTTTGTTTGTGTTCTTTTTCTAGTGGATGTTGTCTTTACTGGTACATTTTTAGTTTTAAAAATTAGATGCCAAGCAATATAATGGTGTCGGGAGTGTGACTTAGAAGGAGCTATTTGAGACTATTTTTAATGCATACCTCAGTTATATGACACAGAGATTAGCTTTAGAAAGGTTACTTCCACATGATGCAGACTCTAGGGATAAAAGACCCTTTACCGGAATGGTAAAGGTTATCAAGGTAGAAAGCTTTAATAGGACCAGGGAGACTTAAGCAGGATTTGTTTGGCACCAGAACCTTCCAGGCTAACCTACTCAGGTCAGGTGCTTCAGGTGAGTCTGCTTGGTCTGGCTGTCTGCTTCTGGGACTGCTTCATAAAAAAAAAAAAAAAAAAAAATATATATATATATATATATATGTATGTATGTATTTATATATGTAACCTGTTTGTTCTGGTTTCTGTGAATGCTGAAACTGAGGTTGTAGTTGCGGGTTAGTATATTGAAAATGCAATACCTTAATTGCAGGACTTGAACTGGCTTCAGTGTTGACTTTTAATAGGTATCTTGGTACTAAAAATAGTTTCTCCACAGATGCTTTGTGTTTTGGACTAAGTCCATTATTGGTCAAGAATTGCAAAATAATGCTGCACAGAACTACTTACATCATCACTATTCATTCCCTGATGGTTTGCAACTTGTAGTTCAGCATGAAAGTGGTGACAGACCAGTTTTCCAGATGTATGATCTATGTTGTGTGCACCTGCCAAACTTGTATGACTTTGTATATGAAAAAAAGAGACCACTGGACTTGTCCCCAGAAACCATCCAATTTTGCAGGTGAATTTCTGTGCTCTGGGGTCCTGCCTGTCCAGAATGATAGCATTTGCTATAAATGGCACACAGATTTTTGCACAATAATGAAGAAAGGTTTTGCTTGTGCTTTGGATTTGTTGCTGAATATTTTTAATGTAGAGATTTACATGCGCAAATCAAATAAGCCCCTAGACTTTGCACTCTAAAAAGCTGAATATAAGATTTGCATTCTGAGATATTGTTGAGCTTAGCTGAGTAATCAATTATTTTATTAGAGTATGTCTAGTGATGTATGGAAGTCAGTGCTTGGCAGGGCACATTATGTTGGTCTGGAAGTGCCAGAGAGTTATGTCCAAATCTATTATTTTTCCATTCCAGGAATGGAAATACCCTGAGATTGTGTTTAAAAATTCACTGTACAATAAAATACAGCTGGAAGAGATGCCCATAAAGGCCCTTCAGGCATTCCCTTTAAGAGTACAAATCCAAGTCAGACTGAGAATTGTTATGTGTAAGATTTTCTTCCATCTTCTGGTACAGATACTGCAATGACAAGAGTGGCATGAAGCACTGAAAAGAGTCGGGGATTTCATGTTGGCAGTGGAGTATGGGAGGGAAAGGAGCAGTTTAACTCAGTCCTGCACAGATCAAGAGCTCCCTTTGCCTGGTTGCTCAGTGACTGCAGAGCTGGAGAGCACCCTCTTTGTCTGTCTTCATGAAGCAGCTGGGATATGCTAACATTTCCCTCCACACACTGTCTTTTCCAAAACAGCCTGGTCAGCATGCTGCTAAGGCTGCCATGTGGTGATGTGGACCTGATGGTATGATCAGGTACTACTTATGCCTCAGGCTCTGGTGAGGTAATGTTTGAAATTCATTATTCATTTCTCAGAAAGGCATTTGGCAAGAAAATCCACTGAACAAAATGCTACAGAAACCAACTTTTGCCTACAGTCTCACTCTTTGAATAGACTTCTAACTTGGACTAAGATCTCAGAAATGGTAATTGCATGTGGATTCCTTTCTCCATGGATTTGAAGGTGGAAAGAGGCCGAGAAGGATCTGAGAACTAGAGAGAGTGTCACTCCTTTAAAAACATGCAAGTTAGTAGGAGGCATAATGAAGGATTTCTTTCTTTGGGAGATTGAGTGTTACAGTTCAGATGCAT